GTGCTCTAGTTTTCAAGTGTCCTCTGATGGCCTGGCTTCAATGAGTGGCTCTCTGGACAAAGCTTTCACTGTATGCCAGCTATTGAAACCTTAAACACTCTGGGTCAAAGGGGGGGTGTAAAAAAGCAAAGTTGTTCCTCTTCTCTGTCTGGTGGCCTTGATGTTCATTTGCCCTGCCCAGCACATGTACTTAATAATAGCTCATTTTTATTAGTTTCTTCGTACATGCCAGTGTTGTCCTAACCTGCAGTATCCCTCAGAATGTGACTGCAGGGTCCTTAAAGAGCCAATGAAGGTGAAATGGAGTAATATGGGCGGACACCCTTTTAAGAAGGGGGATGCCAGAGATGCAGGCGCACAAAGAAACACAACAAGCAGGTGGCCGATGGGCGTGGCCTCAGAAGAAACCAAACTTACTGATGCTTTGATCTTGGGTTTCCATCCCAGAACTGTTCTGTTGTTTAAGCCAACCAGTCTACGGTATTTCATTATGGCAGTCCTAGCAGACTATTAAGCCAGGCAATGTGATAACTGCTTTTTATGAACGATCTCTTTAATCATCATAGTTATCAGATAAGGCAGGTGCTACTGGACAGGGACTGTGAATAACGTTTCGGCACACAGCAGGAGCTCTCTTCGGTGTGCTCGGACCTGTCCCTGAGAGTAGGCAAGCAGATGGCTCTGGCTCGTAAGTGGACGAGGTGGGGAGAGACTTAAATGGAGCCAAGTGTTTTCCTGACGTGCACACCTCTATCAGGACTGTGTTTGCACTACTCTTTGTTCATTAAGTTAAGAGAGAATAGTAATACCCCAATTTCCATCAGTATGAATTCTTATAAGCATTTATTGATTGAACTGATAAGCCCCTCCTGATCATTCGCTATTCATTTCTAATTTTTTCCTCTGTTTTGGTCTCTCTTGCTAGGAATCACTGGCCAGTACCTTGATACCCCAAGTAGCTCTCACTGGATTGATGTTTTTGTTTGATATTTTCACTTATAGCTCCTTTCAATGAGATAAGGATTTGCTTCTGTGGGAGAGCAATACCTTAAGCTATTGAAAAGGTAGTCAATAAACTACCTTCCCAGGTGGAGCTAGATGCCAGGGAGCACTTTTTACAGGGCAGAGCTTGTTGGAAAGGATGGTAGAAACACTGAGAATAATCGGGGCCCAGGGGAGGGTTGTACAGGCCACATGGGAGAAAACGGGTAAAAGGAAAGTTGAGAGGAACTGAAGACAGTAGTCACTTAGCAGGATGTGACGTGGCTTCTTCCGGGGGCACCTGCTGCCTCTCCCTAGAAACTACTCTCTGTTTGTTGTCACCCTGGGGCCCTTCCAGCCTCACCTACCCAGGTGTGAGACCTGGACCTGCCACTTGAGTCATGGGTGGCTACCTGAACCATCTCGTCAAAGTCACACCAAGTACCCTAGTCCTGGAATCTTATCCGTCAAAACCTAAATAGTTCCCCTACAATAATAACACATGAATGGTTGCAAATGAAGCTTGAGCACTGCACATGTGGAAGGCAAAGAGAAAGAAAGCGCTCTCAGTCTGCTATCGCTCACGTTCTGGGTTAACTGAGCATCACTTTTGTCTTGCTCTGAAGAAGGAATATGGGACCCAGTTATCCATAAAGTTCTTATCTGAAGTATTGTTTAGAGTTTCGGGTAAGGGACTTTACAGTTGAAAATGCTAAAAATACCTCTTAGGCCAGGCAGTTTGATTTGAACGGAAGAGATAACATAAGGCTGAGGGTCAAGTTATGACTTTGAGAAGACACAGGTACTCACTCTGTTGGGGAGCCGTGATTTTCAGTAGACCCAGGGGCTCCTGTGGTGCTAACTACAGACCCCTTTTCTAGGCTGTGACTTACCCGCTGTGGCCCGGCAGACAACATCAGTAAACAGGGCTTCCTTGGAATACCTGCCTGACCCTTTCTGAAGAACAAACTTCCAAGGACTGCCTCAGCTCCCATCCTTATTGTGTCATCATCTTCGAGGGAGTCCAAGTACACAGCGGTGAAGATCTGACTGTAAGGAAGTGTGTGATTCTGGGCTAAATGGCATGTGTAGATGAAAGAACAGTGAAATCATGGTGAACAGGACAGCTCAGGGACAGCTTCATGGGGAAAGATGGATTTTTGCTTAAGGATAGGTAGAAAAGAGAGGGTGCAGCTACGGTTCTGTTTTTGTGCCTGCTAATTTTCACTTCTGGCTGCCCTACTGAAACCCCCGAAGATAACTGATATGAAAGAGGGAAAAAACAAGGTTAAAAGGAGCAAGGAGCTCAGACACATAGAAGTCTGAATTAGCCCTGGCTGGTGTGGCTCAGTGAATGGGGCGTGGGCCTGCGAACCAAAGGGTCATGGCTCAATTCCCAGTCAGGTTGCAGGCCAGGTCCCCAGTAGAGGGTGTGTGAGAGGCAACCACACATTGAGCTTTCTCTCCCTCTCTTTCTCTTTCCCTTCCCCTCTCTCTAAAAAATAAATAAAATCCTTAAAAAAAAGTCTGAATTAGAGCAGCCAGTTGGATCTGTGGAGACTTCACCAGCTGGAAGGAGGTTGGGAATTATGTGTTTCAGCAATGGAACCAAAGCGCATCACATATGTCATTGGGCAGAAGCCTTATTATGCAATAATACCCCCTGTCCACTTCCTCCCCCAATTAACAATGCACAGACTGAGGTCACTGTGCCATTAAAATAAATGTTCATACACCCTGGGTATAGCTGGTAGTCGATTCTTCGATTCTTCACTTTGAAGTTTGAATTGTTTGTTCCTTCAAGTGTGTTAATACTTCTGAAATGTTTTAGCTTTTGGCATCTAAGTTTGAACTTCCCCAGATGTTCGTGGTGTACATGATATTCTGGTCCTGGCACTGTAGCTGATATGATGCATCTGCTCTGTGCTCATGGACAAGGCCAAAGAATGAACCTGGATTGGGAGTGTCGATGCTTTGTTTGCTTTCTTGATTGGGTTCTGCAATGTTTTCTTCTCGCAAAGGGCCAATTGGGAACAAGCTGAGAACACAGCAGGGAAGAGTTGTTCCAAAAGTCCTCTGGGAATTACAAAATTAAATTTTCTATAGATTGTATTCCTCTAGCAATTACCAGTATGATTTTGGGCAAGTTATATAGCCGGAAGATACCAATTACCCACACTTCACCTCTGGGTCTTCATCTGAAAAGTGAGAGGCCTAGGAATGATGATTTTGAAGTTCTTCTTCTGAGATTTGAGAATTTAATAATCCCTGAGTAGTGAAAGTTAGGCTTTTTGACACTGGAGCGATGGGTTTGTCCACCTGGATGTGTTGCCCCACATTTATCGGCCTCGAGTCCACTGTCACCACTTACGTCCCCAGATGGGGCCATGCCAAGTTGGTAAAGCCTAGCGGAGTTTCTCTAAGAAACCAGACCCAGCCACTTGGCCCACACTCAGTCTCCTCTCATGTCCTCCCATTCATTTATCCATTCATTCAACAGCCTACCAACAGTCAACGGCCTACCATATGCTGGGTACTAGTCTTTAGAACCCGACCTATGACTTTTTATCCATCTTCCCTCACACTCACTTTGTTTGACAAGCCAGGTAGACAACAGTGTAGGAAATGTGCATTTAATCATTCTCTTGAGTGATCAGAACTATAAAATCAAGTTTTCTATAACAAAATGTAATACAGTCGTGGTGGGTGCAGAGAGCCAGGGAAGCAGTGGTCAACACGTGAAAGGTGTGGGAGGGGGCTGGAGGGAAAACACTCTTTCCTATCACAGCTGCGTTCCTCGGGGCCTCGTTCCAAAGGTTTATTGTCCCTGCCGCCAGACTCCTCTGCGTGCTTCAAGGAAGGTGTTGCCTTAATTTGAATTTTGACTAGGCGAGGTTCTGAGGTCTAACTTCAGAGTGAGAGGACTTGAGGTGGAGCCCAAGCAGTTCTCTCACATATCCCTATTTGCAGAGAAAACTTAAGGGAAGGGAACTCAGAAGTGCAGCCACTGTGGATAACCCCGTCAGAAATTCCCGGTTGCCCCACACTGAGTTCTGGCTCTCAGGGCTGAGACAGCAGCCAAAGAGACAGAGGCTAAGGCCTGTGTTAAAGATCCTTTCTAGTCTGCCTCAGGGTCTCCTGGCCTCAGCATGGCTCACGTGTTAGGCTGGATAGTTCTTTGTCGTGGGTGGACGTCCTGTCCTGTCCATTGTGGGGTGTTGAGCCGCGTCCCTGGGTTCTATTCCCTAAAGGCCAATAGCACCCTTCCCCTACAAACTGGGGCAACTAAAATTGCCTTCAAATACTTCTAAACGTCTCTGCGGGTTTGCAGAGTTGCCCTCGCTGAGTGAGTCTCCCGGCTCCAGACGCTGTCGAAAGCTAAGGCCATCACAGTCCGTGAAGGCTAGAGAGGAGAGGCCTCAGCCCTCACGATGACTCAGCGAGTGCCACATGCAGTCAGGAGGAGGGGCCTTTCTGAGACCGCTCAAGGATAAACGTCATCTGACAAATAAAATGGCCTTTGTTTTTAAAAAGAAGGTACTCAGATCATTTAGGAAACGTGCCACCCCTCTACATGTTTTATGTTAAAATAACAATCATATCCCACATTTCTTTAGTATTCGTTAGGTGGGAGGAGATGCCGAGACACTTGGAAACAGCATGATGAAAAGTGAGTCATTGGACCTGTGGCTGAGGTGCAGCCACCTCTGAACTGTGAAGGGGCAGCTCATTAGCAGCTGCTTCCTGTTTCCACAGAAGTTTAGATGTGGGTATATTGCAGCAGAGACTTTCTGGGAACCTCCTCAGAGCAACGACACAGCAGGATGACTACAGATTCCCAGGCGAGGGGCTGCGCTCTCCCACACTCTCACTCCCCGCATGAGGATGGGTAAGGGGCGGTCCCTGAGGTATGGGTGGGGGGGGCGGCACTTGTCTCCACGTGCGTTTTATTAATACTCAGAAGTCTTAACACACTTCTCCAGTTCAGATGAACTGTTTTCCCAACTTTTAATATGTGTCTTTGAGGGTAGATTTATCTTGCTCATATTGAGTCTTCTGTGGTTTGCTTTTGGCTTCTTTTTGCTTCTTGATCTTTTATGTTCACTCCAGTCTTTTAGACATGAATTCATTTCCCCCAAGAAATATCAAACTAGGTCATATCTTGTGGTGAAACAGTTCTGCAGGTTCCTGGGATTCTGGAAATAAGAGCGATAAGACACAATTACAGCCACTCAGCAAACATTTACGGAGAGCTGAAAGTCTGCCTGCCACTGTGTGAGTGTATTTCTTATTCAGGAATGGCCTCGTTCTCTGTGCTTTGATGGTGTTTATCAAGGCCACATGGTACCCTGTGATGCTAAGGGAAAGGAGGCGGGACTTGAGTGTCCCCTTCAGGGCGGGGGTCATCCTCAGAGCAGATGCTGGGGTCTGCCTGGCGCTCGTGAGGAACACAGGCTCGCACAGAGCTGATCCCCCACCATCCATGATGCTCCTCACCTGTGGCACCAGTGCCGTCGCATGTCCCTGTGGGGCCAAGGCACGTTATTTTAGGTACAAGGAGAGAGACAGGAGTGCCCAGCTGACGGCAAAGGAAGAAGAGACACCCAGGGAAGCCTTTGAGTCCAGCAGCTCTAGGTGACTCCGCCTTTTAATCTCAGAGTCTGCAAAGGGAGAGAGAAGTTCAGGGTCGTAGGAGAGAGGCTAGATGGCTTCAACTGTACCCAATTTGGGGGCAGTTTTGTACCACAGTGTCTTCTTTTCTGTCACTGGCGTAAAAGCCAAGCTTCCCCCTTTTTCAAAGGCAGCTCTATTCTGCGGTCCAGTCCCGTTAGCACTCAGCCAAAGGAAAAACTATACCAATGAAGAGATCATTATTGGCTTCCAAACAAAGAATAGGCTGAACACACAGCCTCAGCCAGTCCTTGGTTTCAGACGCTTTTTTCCTCTAGGCAGTGACCTTTACAGGTTCTGTGTTATTGACTTTTTTGACATCACTACGCAGTGATGAGAAAGTATTGTTCTCATTTTGAAGTAGAGAAAAGAAGTGAAGAAATTAAATTACTCTTTACTCTATTTTCTCCCTAGACAGTCCAATCCCATTTAGCTCATTTTGTCTCTGACACTCCCTCGCTGTGTGACTTTAGTTGCTCAATCTATACATGTTTCAGCTTCTTTATCTTTAAAGTAGGACTAAAATAATAATCAGCCCTGGCTGGTAGGGCTCAGTGGATTGAGTGCTGGCCTGCAAACTGGAAGGTCACCGCCGATCAGGGCAAGTGCCTGGGTTGCTGGCCCAGTCCCCAGTTGGGGGCATGCAAGAGGCAACTGACCCAAGTATCTCTTACACATCGATGTTTCTCTCTCTCTTTTTCCCCCTCCCTTCCCCTCTCTCTAAAAATAAATAAATAAAATCTTATTTAAAAAGGAGTCTTTAAAAAATAATAATAACAATCTGCACTCCAGGATTCTTATGCGGATTAATGAGTTAATACAAGTTAAGCACTTAGAGTATGTCTGGCACATAGTAAGTGCTCAATAAGTGTTAGCTGTGAAAACAACAGTAACAGTGACCCTACTCAGGTCTAATAAGCATTGCTTCCATTAGGCTAATCATTTCCAAATCACCTCCTTATTGTGAACCCAGAGTTCCACATCTGGGTTTACAGTTGCTACAGTTGCCACTATATGCGTCAGTTAAAAAACATAATTATTCAGTAAATATTTTTGAACATCTATTATTGGGGTTCAAAGGAGTTTAATAAAACCCCATGTTCTGGCTGAGTTCTGAATCAATGAAAGAGTAGGACAAAAACAGTGAGGCAACTGGGAGACCAGAATATCACCTTTACTACCAATAAACCTGGTAAAGGGTGCAGCTTTGTGTGCAGGGACGTGAGCTGCAGCCCAGTGTCTCCAGGGACCAGCAGCACCAGACTGGTGCAGGCTGCCTCCTGCAGGGCCCATTCTGCCCCTGAAACATGGATGGCTTGGAGGAGCAGAGGGGAAATTATACTTCCTGAGGGTAGCCATAGAGACAAGAAAAATAGGGAGCTCAGCCTCTTATGTCTGGCTTCTTCTAATAAACTCACCAGTCAGACAAATTAGTAATTCCTCCTTCTCTGGTGAGGCTTAAAAGAGGGGAGACCAGAGAGGCTAGAAGGGTTGCACTGGTGGGAGTCTCTTCTCACAGAAGGGAGTAGGTGGAACAGGGACGGAGTGTTCTCCCCAAAGCCTGCCACATGCTGGGTGATGTCTAACCATTGCACAGCTCTACCTAGGTAAGCAGCAGCCACATTCAAACACCTCTAAAACCCTCATCTGTTCTCTAAACACGTTGCCCCTGATTTTGATTATTTGTTGGTAGCGTTACCAACCTCCTAAGCAACCTGGGTAGAAATATCACACCCATTTGACTTGCTCTTTCTCTTGTCCTTCCCCTTTGTGTCACTAAGTCCTGTAGATTCTTTTCTTTTTGATTTTATGTATTGATGTGAGAAAGAGAAGGTGAGAGGAAGGGGTGGGCAGGGGGAGAGAGAGAGAGAACTCTTGATTTGTTGTTCCATTCATTTATGCATTCATTGGTTGTTTCTTTGGTTCTTGTATGTGCCCCAACCAGGGATCAAACTTGCAAACTTGCCATAGTGAGGATGACAGCAACCAGCTGAGCTGCAAGGCCAGGGCTTGTAGATTATTTTCTCCATTAACTTTTGATTCTTCCCCCTTTCTTTCCCCTGGCCGCTGCCCCCACTAAGGCCCTCATAATTCCTCCCCTGGACATTGACATAGGCTCCTGACTACATGCCTTCCTATTCCATCAAAACCATTCTTCTGCTATGAACCCAGGCCTGAACGCTGCCTCATCTACTGAGCCACTGGAGTCATAATGAACAACACTTTGCCCCGGGCACCATAGCTACACTGTGATTAACTTCTCTTATGACAGCAGTGCTATTTATCTCAGTATTTATTGGGACTTAAATATTGCTTTTTACATATTTGGCACACAGATACTTGTTGAATGGATGACCTGAACTACCCACATAGTCAAAGAACACAGGATGTAAACCCTATGGCCGCATCTACTTGTTTAAAAACATGTTTGTTGATACCAACGATATGATTATACATTGGATATCACAGTAGAATATTAATTTCCTCATTTAAAAAAGAATTAAAAACATGTTTGGAGCCCTGGCCTGTGTGGCTAACTTGGTTGGAGCATTGTCCCTTGCACCAAAAAGGTGGAGGGTTCAATGCAGAGTCAGGGCACATGCCGGAGTTGAGGGTTCAGTCCCCAGTTGGGGTGTGTAGGAGAGGTCCCTGGTGAGGTTGCATATGAAAGGCAATCAGTCGATGTTTCTCTCTCACATCAATGTTTCTCTCCCTCTCTCTCTAAAATCAATAAGCATGCCCTCAGGTAAGGATGAAAAATAACAAATAAAAACATGTATGGAGTATGTACTTTGTGTGTGACAAGAAGGAATTATGTTATTTATTCTTAAACTTTGGCTATGTCATGCTACCAAAAGTTGTATTTAGTCTTAGTGCTGATACACGGAACACTTGTTCTGATGTATCCAGTAAACACGTATGGACAAATAATCTGCTCGCTGAGTAAAAGTTGTGCTCCATCTCTGTGGTTTATTCAGTTCTTGCCTTTTCTATCAGAAGGCATTAGTTATAGAGTGTGGAGCCTTTCATTGAGGTCTAAATTTAAATACTGTGGTTAACACTCATTATTTCAAATGCCCAGTGCTTCATTCCACCCTTCTCTACTGGGAAGGCCTTTCATCAGGTACCGAATGCCTCGTTGGCCTAGGTGTGGGCCGCTGACCCCAGGTGAGTCTTTCTGGAGATGTAGAATAGGACTGAGGGGCTGAGGTCCAGCCTGGTTACTCTCTTGAGGGAAAAAGACTTTTAAAGCTAGGAGCTGTTGGCAACTACAACAAGATAGAGTAAATTAGAGAGTAAAGAGAGAATAAAATCGAAACAAATAAAATGTACCTTGGTTCCATGAGACATCCTAATACCCTTTTAATAACTTACCCTTTTAGCTTAGGTTTGAGCTGGTTTTCTGTTATAGGCAGCTAACAGCATTCTAACCAGTACAGTCACCCATATGTTCCACAGGACAGTGGAAGAGCTCTCTAATTTTGTTTTAAAGATTTTATTTATTTACTTTTAGAGAGAGGAGGAGGGAGGGAGAAGGAAAAGGAGAGAAACATCAGTGTGTGAGAGATACATGGATCTGTTGCCTCTTCCACGCCCCCAACCAGGGAACTGGCCTACAACCCAGGCATGTGCCCTGATTAGGAATCAAACCGGCAACCTTTCAGTCTGTAGTCCAGTGCTCAGTCCACTGAGCCACCCCAGCCAGGGCTCCACTTTTTTAATTAAATATTTTTATTGCATTAAAAATAAACACCGTAAGACAAAATTTGCAATCTTAACTATTTTTAGGTCCACTGTTCAGTAGTGTTAAGTATACTCATATTGTGAAACTGATCTCCTAAACTTTTTCATCTTGCAAATCTGAGACTCTGTATCCATTAAGTGACAACCCCCCTTCCTTTTCTGTTTCCCTCAGCTCCCGGTAACCATCATTCCACTTTCTGTCTCTATGAATTTGACTACTCTAGGCACCTCACGTAAGTGGAATCACACAGTATTTGTTCTTCTGTGACTGGCTTTTAGCATAATGTCCTGAAAATGTATCCATGTTGTAGCATGTTGAACGGGCTTCCTTCCTTCCTAAGATTGAATAATATTCCATTTTATGCACACACCACATTTTGTGTAGTTGTCCACCTGCTGATGGACATCTCGGGCCGCTTCCTCCTCTCGGCTGTTGCGAATAATGCTGCTGTGAACGTGGGTGTGCGAGTATCCCTTGGAGACCCTACTTTCAGCCTTGTGAATATACACATAGAAGTGGGACTGTTAGGTCATGTGGCAACTCTATTTTTAATTTTTTGAGGAACCTTCATACTGTTTTCTAGTGGCCGCATCATTTTAGAATCTCATCTGACACGTACAACGGTTCTAATTTCTCCTCGCCCTCACCAACACCTGGGGCTTCCATTTGCATTTCTCTGATGATTAGTGGTGGTGAGCATCTTTTCATCTGCCTATTGGCCATTTGTATATCTTTTTTGGAGAAATGTCTATTCAAGTCCTTTGCTCATTTTTTAATCAAATTATTTGATTTTTGTTGTTGTTTAGTTGTAGGAGTTGTTATGTATTCTGCATATTAACCATTTATCAGATGTATGATTTGCAGATATTTTATCTCATTCCATAGGTTTTCATGTATATAATTTTAAATAAAATATAACCTGATGAAAATATGGTTTATTTAGTTAAACCCAGCAAACATTTATGGGGAACTTACGATGTGCAAGGTGTTCAGTATGGTACTGTGCTTGATACAAGACAGCAGTTCTCCTGACCTACTCCTTCCACTACAGTCTGAATTCAATGTAGCCCCAGACGGGTGGTTTTAAAAGTCATAATTCAGTCTATGCACTTCCTGGGTGCTAGCTCAGCCCTAGGTTTTGTATGCACTAGAGCACTGCAGGGACACTAGAGTGCTGGGCCTCCCCGGGTCCCGGTCTTCTCAGCCTGGGAGGCCAGTTCAAACTAGAGCGTTCAGGCGAACCCTGGGCTGATATCAGTGGGAGCATGAGCCAGTCCTAGGAGAGCTGAGAGGACTAAGGCAGACCCTAAGACCTTTAGTCTTCAGACTGAAAGCCTTCTCAAAGGCAGGCTAGAACCAAACCAGTGTCGGAGGACTTCTCATATAGATATTAACTGAATATATCAGAGATGTCAAATAATCATCGCTTACACACTGCTTCACCAAGCCAGTCCTACTAGGTGAGGCAGGCCTCAGAACCCTAAATAAACACTGCTCTCCAGGCAGTAAGGGGCGTATACAATGAAGCTTAATTGCCATCTTTGAACTATTATGCCAGAAATATTGTTTTGTATTAGTCTTCTTGTGTAGTGTAATCCCAACTGGAACTGTGATCAGGGTCTCTGTGAAGAAAACTCTAGAGCTTTCCGTGCCCTGGTACATAATATATCTGTTATAGAAATTAGATTTTAATTGGGGTTTGATTCTCACCCCAATACACCCATACAAAAAGCACGAAGGAACCCACCTGTCACCTTAATATCCCCCGTGGCTTTGGCAATGCTGTTCTCGATCATACAGGAGTATGTGTGGTTGACTGTGACATTGTAGAGAACAGATACAACCTTCATGGTCACGTTCTCAGAGTTCAGCTCGAAGCTGGTATTGGAGACTCCCGAGAAGTTGGTTCTCGGGTCAACCTGGGATGTCCAGACCACTGTGGGCTGCGGGAACCACCGGGGAGCCTCACACCGAAAGCTCTCAGAGCTGGCATTATAGTCCACGTTGATCTCTGGGATGCTGAAGGCTGCAGGGTTGAAGGTCAGAAAGAGCAGATGTTAAAGGTCAGAGAGATAAGGCAATATAGGCTTTGAAGTACTAGGTTTTAAAAACACAGCAATCTCTATCACTGAAGTTTCGCACTAGTTCACTTCCCCAGCGGATTCTCTGTGTATGGCCTATTGTACTCGAGGTGCAAATAATGATTTGCTCACCGTATTGCTGTGCATCACAACCCTTTGGCCAATATCACAAACTCCAGAGACTGAAGTTCTAGGTATAACTGTCACAACAGATAAATTTCTCTAAGCAAGAGGAGTTCCAGGGATTACAAAAAATAGGTTCATTCATTAGGGAAATTGGGTATTTTCCCAGGCACCTGTGAAGCTCCCTGGACTTTACGTATTGTTCTGCGTGGAGAAAATAGTTAGGGCGGGAGGGAGAGGGAGAAGGAAGAAACAAATAGCATTCGCCCGTCAGCCTGGGCAATCCCATACGCAGGCCGTGTCCTCACGGGAGTCTGGAGCTTGCCTGGGCCGAGCCTGTCCTGCTGTGGGATCCAGAGTGAGAGGCAGGTGTTTGTTTTCTCCCAAGATAAAGTGCTCCTCACTGGGGAGGTTACTGCATTTTGAAATTAAGACTAGCTTCCCCGTCTATCTGGGCAGACATACACTTGTAGAAAATGTTAAGGCCTGGACTTTTGGCTCCAAACTGGCAAGATACAGTTTATGGACTTCTTTAGCATCTTCCTTTGCCCAGGACTGTGCTGGTGCTGAGTATTGAAAGGAACGCCCTTGTGTTACCCTTAAAGAGCCTGCTGTCTGCGAAGGGGAGGAGACTCACAGGCAGGGAACACGCTTGTAGGAGGTGATACGGGAACCTGAATGTTCCAGGCAATGAATGAAATTTATTGAGGGTGTGCCCTGTGCTGGGTGCCAAATTCCAGACATTATTTCATTTGATCCTCATAACAGTCCTAGGGATATTTATTATTGTTCCCATTGAAAGAAAAACAAGTTTTTAACTTTGGAATAATTTTAGATTTATAGAAAAGTTGCAACGATGATGCAGTGTTAATATGACTTCTCATCCAGTTTCCCTAGTGCTAGCATCTGAAATAGCCATGGTGCATTTGTCAAAACTGAGACACCGTCGCTGGTACTTTACATTAATTAAGCTCCAGGCTTTATTTGGATTTTACCAGTTTTTCCACTAATGTCCTTTTTCTGTCCCAGGATCCCAGCCAGAATACCACACTGCATTTATTTGTCATTTGCTCTTAGGTTCCTCTGGCCTATGGTAGTTTCTCAGTCTTTCCATGTTCCCCGTGATCGTGACCGTTTTGAGCACTGCTCAGGTACTTTGTAGGATAACCCTCTATTGTAATTTGCCTGGTGTTTTCCTCGTGATCAGACTGAGGTCATGGGGTCTGGAAGGGAGACTGTAGGAGGTGAAGCGCCCTTCTCATCACTTCACCTCAGAGGGCACGTGCGGACAGCATGTCTTATCATTGGTGATGTTACCTTCCATTGCCTGGCTGAGACAGCGCTTGCCAGGTTTCTTTGGAAGCGGGACCTCACTAAGCCTCAGGGGGAGGGAGAGGGGGAGGGAAAAGTACTATAAGCTCCACTTTCTGAAAGGGGAGAGATCGAAACACATTGTTTGGAATTCATCTGTAGAGATTTGTTTCATCTGTCTTGTATTTATATGTAGGTATGGGCTCATCTGTATGTTATACTTATAGTTACAATTCAATACCATATTGTTTATTTTGTTGTTCAAGTTGTTCCAGTTTTGCCACTGAAAGTCCTTTCAGTCAGCTCCACTGTCCCTTTGACATGACCATGCTGGTCCCCAATTCAAAATAAAGACGCTGAGGCCCAGGGAGGTTGCCTTGCCCAGGCCACTGTATCTGCCCAACTCTGGCTCTAGATCGATGCTTCACACCATTACACGCACATGTCAGGAGGTGTCTGAAAAGGCCTGTGCAGGCTAGCTTAGGCAAGGAAGCCTCAGGATACTATCTACCTGTCCTTCAAGATGCCTCCCAAATTCTCTCCATGGGGGCTTTCCTATCCCTTCCATCCCTATGTGTTGGGTATGATTTCTTTCTTCTTCTGAATCTTCAAATCACTTCATTTATACTTCTCCTAAAGCATTTTATACATTCTACCAAACATTACAGGTATTTGCATATTTTCCTCATCTCTGCCCCAATGCTCAACTCTATAAGCTCCACACTATGAGCTCTGGAAGAGGAAGGACAAACCATCTTTTTACTCCTTATCTGAGTATCTGAGTCCCCTATACATACATACATTCAGAAAACATGTGTTAAATGCAGTTGGTGAGAAAGAGTGGATTTCATTGAGGGAAGGGCTCATGAGTTTAAAGGACAATGTCGTTTTGTTTAATCACTGTTGGACTTCTCAGTAATGAGTTCCACTGTCGTGTGTCCCTGGTGGCACTGATTCCAGCCTTGGGCTAGGGCCTACTCAGCACAGAAAAGTCCCAGCCCAGGCAAGAGGCTTCTCTTCCTCGTAATAGTGGAAGCTGCAATGAAAGAGACTCTATTTATTTTGGCAAAATATTTTAGGGAATATACGAGAAAATTCAGAAGAAGCTGGAGTCTGGAACAGAAGCTTTGAAGACCTAGCATTCTAGCAGGCTACTTCTGGAGTGGGTGTGGGTCCTGGACAGCAAACACAGCTGCTAACAGACTCGGAGGGTCTTGTCTGCCATCAGTCGCTCCTGAGCACAGGAGCATGATATTTCTCGGCTCACCGTGCTCTGTAGACTCAAATGCCTTTTGGCACTTTCTTTCCCTCTGTCTAAAAATAACTTACCTCCCGTTTTGTACTCAAGGTTAGCATTCCCCTTGCCTTTAGAAGTGATGATGTAACATTTATAGGTGCCAGCATCTGTGAGTTGCACATTTTTCAGCCTCAGAGAGGCATTGCCCACTCTCACTTGATCAGCAAACACTGCTGTCCGGCCTCTGAACACTTCGTTCTGCTCTGACAGGTCATCCTTGCCGTCTTTGAACTCGTGGACCAAGCCCATAACACCTTCCTTTAGCCACTGTATCACGATATCAGAAAGTTTGATGTCAGGTTCAAAAGTGCAGCTCAGGATTCCATCCTCCCCGATGTTCCCGGTTGAGGTGAAAGTCGTCACTGTGATGGAGTGTGTCCCTGCAATTCAGGAAGCAAGGGTCAATGCCAAGGGAAGCTCCAGAATGTCTATGACTGAACCCTTCATTACTAAAAGCCAAACAGAGACTCCTGTAATAAATTCAAAATATAGAAGAACAGGAGAGGCATAGCAAAGAAGACATAAGAAAAATGAAAAGGGCAGGAAGACAATGGTTTTGATAGGGACAGCGGATCTGCCACAACAGCTTTTTGAGATCAATCAACCCAATCCTTGAGAGGTAACAAGAGGGGAACGTGTTGGACTTGGGGTTTGAAGATGAGAATTTAAGTCCTGACTTTGCCACTTAGTATCTGTGTGACCTTGAATGAATCATGTAACCTCTCTGGATCTCAGAAAAATGGAGGCAGTATCTGTCTTACCTAACTCTACGGTTCCTGTGAGGATCAAATCAAATGATTATGAACTTGATTTGTAAACTGTAATTACACAGATAAGGTATTGTTCTTAGTTAACAAAACATGAAACCTAGTGTTAACTAAATATGACTAAGAATTCTAAAGAATGTTAAGTTCTAAAGTGCTGTTACTTTTTTTTAAAGACTTATTTATTTTTAGAGAGGGGAAGGGAAGGAGAAAGGGAAACATCAATGTGTGATTGCCTCTTGTGCACCCCCTACTGGGGACCTGGCCCACACCCAGGAATGTGCCTTGACTGCGAATCGAACCAGCAACACTTTGGTTCGCAGGCTGGCATTCAATCCACTGAGCCACACCAGCCAGGGCTAAAGTACTGTTACTTTTATCTCTATTTAAATGATGAAAACACTAAGGCATAGAGGAGATAAGTGACTCAGTCAAGGTTACAGTGCTAGCCACGGCATAATAAAGAACTTAACAGTACTTAATAGCACGGCATTTAATAGTACTTAAATTGTGTTTTTGGCCTAAGATAGAAGACATGCCCTCCTCTGCCAACATACCACCAGCAGAATATTATCACGGTGCCAGCCATGTCCACTGCCTCTGCCCCACTTGCCCAGCCAACAGCCCACTCAGTCTTTGAAGGACTGATCAGTTGTTTTTTCTGTAACTGAGGGCTGTTGACTGGGGACACCTCTAAGGCTGATTTAATTAGCTGAACCTTCTTGAGAGGCTCCTTTTGGGGCTTGGATGTGAAGCCAAGGAGAGGATGAGTCTTTGAGCTTGAGAGGAGAGTGGGCCAGACACAAAAAACTGTGTGTGTGTGCTGGGGGAGTCTGTGAAAGAAAGGTGAAGAGAGCCCCCGCATCCTCAGGGCTGTCTTAGATCCCGAGGGTTTTCAGGTCTAGGTCTCATCCAATCTCTGAGTATCCTTTAAGAAAATACCTTGTATTAAAAAGGTCTCCACTAACCTGTCTTCCTTACTACCAAACAAATGGGTGCTGAGCACTTCTTAGCTTCCTTATTGGCATTCCTTCCTCTCATCTTTGCCTCCATCCAGTATATTTCACATGCATTAAAATTACAGGTAGAGCTTAAAGAACAATCTGAACACTTTACTTTTCTAACCGTTAGTCTTCTATGGCTCCCAAGTGCTGTGGAGTAAAGTTCCCACTACCCCGCATGGCCTTCAGACCTAAATACTGCATGGCGCACAGGAAATGCCCATGAATTGCTCCCCTTACAGCCTCCTTTCCTACTATGTTCTTTCATAGTCTTACTGTCTATTCATATCAAGTGATTTATTGATTTTCTGCTTTCAGTGGAAAAGTACATACACAGAGCTACTTGGTGTTTTTCAAATATTAGAGGTACCACATTATGAACATGAGGATATTACCGCTCTCCTCTTGTAGCCCGTAGGGGGTCGGAATGGTCTAATTGGGTCCTAGGCCTTTATAAAGTAGACGAAGGTGATGGATGATGGACAGACCTACAGGAGCAAGCCAGGTGGGTTTATAGTGGGAAGAGCAGAGAGCTTCTAGTGGGAGAAGAATTGTAAGTGAAAAGGCAGAGGAAACACGTGTGCACAGGCGGGTTGGGAGGATGCCTGCAAGCTTTGGCGTGCGGAGCAGCTGCCACGCGCGGGCCTTCATGTGGGAGGTTGGGAGAGAGGCTATGTGAGGATGGTATGGAGTTTGGGGGTGTGATGTGAATGCCGTGCACCCCATACCCTGCCTCGGCATTTTCTTGAACACTGCATTAAAGGTCTAATTTGTTTTCAGTTGTTCTTTATTTGACAGACTGATACCCAAGACATCCCAGGCTACTACTGGGAATACAATCATACTATTATTTTCACAACCCTGTTTATCTTGCTCTTACAATTTGTAGTTCCCTTCTCTCCTTTATCACCAGCTATCCAAATTCTTCTTATGTTCAAGGCTATTTAGATGGCATCCCCTCCTGAAACCCCCATTTGATCTACCAAGACAAAATGAATAGATTCTCTCTTTACTCTCCCTGGCCACCTTCCTTTGCCTTTACTACGGCAGCTGCCTCCCTCTACCTTGTCTCCAGTCCTTCTCCGGCACTAAGCTTCTCAAGGGCAGAAACTGTTAAGATCATATTTGTAATTCCTACAATGCTGTGGTGGTTATTTTATGTGCGGATGACGCTGGGTGCTGAAATGTATTGGCAGATATTTTGGGTGTCTCTGTGAGGATGCTTCTGGATGAGATTATATTTGAATGGGCAAATGGACTCAAGCAGATTGATCACCCTCCTTCTGATGGAAGCCTTAGAGATGGGGCCGCCTGGGCCTGAGGGGCCTTCCCAGCCTCTAGAGCTGTGAGAGGACACATTTCTGTCGTTTAAACCACCAGGCCTAGGGGATTTAGTTATGACAGCCTGAGAGAACTCAGACAAGTGCCTAGTGCTGTGTTTCTACAGAGGAAAATAGTATTTGTTGAGTAAGTGAATAAATGAATGAATGAATGGAAGTCAGTAGAAATCAAAGGACTCTATATTAGTTCTATCCAGAAATGACCATAGGAGTGAGGAACACTTGGCAGGATTTCCACATCTAAATTTGGGGGAAATGTGAGCCAGTGAAAAAGAAGACAAAACACAAGGAGATTCTCAGTAAAATCATGGAGCAAATATAACTACATCACAATGATGGTATATTTGATTGTGGTTTATAAAGTGCCATTAAAGTTGACTTGAAAAATTACTTTTTAGGAAAAATGCATAATTAGCACAGTTTATGGAGAGAATGAAATAATAATGGCATATCTTAGTTTGGTAATTGTGCTACCGAATTAATTGTAATGTGTTGGCCTGGAGCCCACAGGTGGAGGATTTGTTGAAATACCTCTTAGGGAACTTAAAGAATGAAAGTCGGGAGCTGTGGAGTGCCCCAGGGACCCGCTGCAGGCTCTAGTCTAGACTGTTTCAGGTCACATTAAAGATGTGGCAGATGGAATGTACGTGACGTCGATTAAACCCCACCCTCCCTGTATCAAATCGAGAGGAAGAACAAAGGCCAGTGAGATCTAACAAAGCCCAAGGACCAAGCTGTTGCTTTGTACCCAGAAAGCAGTCAATAAGTACTTATTAGGTGAATAGATGATGATTAAAAGTGATAAGTTAAAATTTAATAGTGCAAGTAACAGCATATATGTAAATATTGCTTCTCTTGAAAAGAAATCTATATACAAACTTGCAAGCAAATAGTGGCTCAAGGAGCTATGTTCTAGGAAGCACAGACTGGTCTGAGGTGGCCCTCCAGGCCTCTTAACCATCAGGGGCTCTTGTGTGACTCGGGGAGCCAAAGGGCTCTAGGAGATGAGTCAAAGCGGCTATCTATTAATAGAGAATTCTGTTCCTTTAAATGAGCAGAGATGTTAAGGATGCCATTGGCCTCTAAGATTCCACCAAACACCTTTAAAGCTGGAAGACCCAATCACTTACTGAAAACTAATTTTCTAGCTTGTGAGAGCTGTTCCCATCACAGCTGTGGTCTGTGGGGGAAAGAGGAGCTGGCAAAGGAGAGCAGGTAAAATCGGAGCCGTTCTCTGTTTGCCCAGGGCCAGCCCATTCAGTTGCCCTCTGAAATGGGTCTCTTAAAAAGTGAGGTTACAGGTAACACAGGGCAAGGATTCTTTACAGAAACTATGATTCTGGGATGCCCAACACCATGGATAAACTGGAACAGTAACTTTTCTTTGAAACGACTCGATAAGACGAGTTCTATAGATTTCAGGAGCATAGAGAGCGTACTGGAAGCCTTCAGCTGACGGCCACTCAGCATCTGCTGGAAGCAGCTGTCCAGGTGGACACCAGAGCACATGGCTCAAAGGTGGAAACACACGGGCTTAAGCCTGCCCCAGTGCAGCCTGGGGTGGCCCCTGCCTCTGGCCTCTTGCCAGAGAAGAGGGCAGGGTTGGTGGTAGTAGCTGCGTCAGTGAGAAGAAATTAGAAAGGATGCTGGGCCAGGCTAGATAAAGGAACAAGGTCCGGGAAGGAGCAGCAGAGCACCGTGTTTGAGAACAAGGCACAGGTATCAGGCTGTCTGGGTTCAAGTCCCAGCTCTGCCACTAACTGGATATGTGACCTTGGGGAACTTTATCAACTTCTTCATTCCGTAGCCTTTTCGTCTACAAAATGGGGATATTTAATACTAGTAGTTCCCTCAGAGGGTCCCTGAATGGTCTGTAGGATGCAACACAGGTAAAGGGCTTAATATAGTACCTGACTTGCCACATGTCAAACCTTCAATCAATAGTATTGGTAACCATTACTAACTAGGATCATGTGGAAAGACTGCAGATCAGAGCACCGGGCGGAAAGAAACAATTTATAACTGCTTTACTTATAGTGACTCATTTTAAACCCGATAAGAACCGTGGGAGATAGGAATTATCGTCTTACCTTTTGTGAATGAGGATAAAGAGGCTCCACGGGATTAAATGGCTTTCCTAAAGCCCTTTATCTAGTAACTGGTGGAGCAGTAAACTCACTCCTATCGGGCACTAATCCTGTACTCTCTATCCTGTTTTGCTGATATCCAGGGCCACACTGAGATATGCAGAAAGCCTACCCACTAAAACAGTATCCCCACCTTTTATGAAAATGAAAGCAATTAAAAACTGTAAAGTAAGTGTAAGAAAGGCTAATAACTGTTTTTTCTCAGATGACTACATTTTTAAAAATATTATTTTTTTTCCAAACAATTTGCACAGTGCTCCTGTTTGGTGCCATAAACACATGCCTGTTTGGCTTTCTGAGGGGACTGTGACTTTTACCCAGTGTCCAGAGATGGAGAATTTCTTAGGAGGCTGTGTCCTGTGGTTTCCTGCTCTGGCCTCCGTAACTTCAGAGGAGGCCTGCCCTGGTGTGTCCAGGAACGTGTACAAGTTTTAGGAGGTGCTGTATGAATGCATTAATAACAGCAAATTATTAATAGCACTAATGGCATCGATATAAATGTCAGTGGTGGCCATTTAATACACACACATGTCAGGCACTTTACAAGCACTTTGTCATTTAATCCCCACAGCTCCTCTGGCCACTTTACACGTGAGGGCACTGTTTCTGGGAAGTTAAGTTATACCCCAGTGGGCACGTCCAGTTAGTATCAGACCGGAGAGGAGAACAGCTCTTTCTGATCCCTTCACTCTCCCACTGCACAGAACTGTTCAAAGCCATCCAGTGGGTGACTGACAGCACCGGGACCAGACAGGGTCGGGGCCTTCCCACTGTGTCTCCCTCCTCTTCAAGGGTCATCCAGGACGTCAGCACACCCGCACCGGAGGAGCGTGGCAGGGGAAAGGCAGCTGAAACTATAAAACTAAAGTTATGAAGTGACAGCTTTGGCCACAGACTAGGTTAAAATAAATGTGTCGGCCTGTGGCAGACAGCTCAAGGGAAGTGGAGCAAAACACTTGCCCCGCAGAAGACAGCGGCCGGCTCAGCTCACTCGGTGTCTTCATTAACGCGCCATCCATAACAGACGCTTTTGGGACAGAAGAGGAACCAGAAGACTGTTCCTCGCAACTGCCATCAGTTAGCTGGCACCTGCGCCGCAGTGGCCTCTGTTTCCTCCGTGGGACAACAGCCACAGCCAGTGTTCTCTGTGTCTAAGGCTCCTGCGCACAAAGACTCGCTCTTCTCTAGCGCTTCTGCTGAAGCTTCATCGCAGAGGGGTCGTCTGCCCAGGCCAACCACTGATGGAGCGGCTCGGCCACAGCACGTTACCTGTGACCCCAGAATTTCTGCAGCACTCGGGACACTCTGATCAGCATTCTGTTTGATTCTCTCAGCTACCTGGTGATACAGTGTTTCCTCCCCTCTGTGAATGAGGAAACTGAGGCCCGAAGAGTTGGGTGACTAGTGAGAGGAGAGCGCAGTCCATAAGCAGGAGAACCCGCGCTCTGCTCTGAGGCTTTCTGGATCCGCTGCCCGTGCGCCTTTGCTCCTGCCGCACCGAGGGACCAGGGGCTCATGGGTGAGAGGGGGTGGATTGGGGTAATGCAAGAAGTCACACACCTGAAATGCCAAAACCGATGATGAGTACAATTGCTCCAGCCAAAATAATGATGACGCTAATAATGCTGTGGAGAGACAGAGAAACAGGAGATTACTTCATTCCATCGGGCAGGGTGATTTCCAGCCCGGGCTCAGATGTGTCATTGGTAAGAGGTGCCGCATGAAGCACCTCAACTTTCTCTTCAATGTAGGCTGTTTCCTGGAAACAGCCTCCTCAGAAGGGAATCAACAGTTCCACCCCCACCCCCTGGGGCAGGAGTGGCCCTTTTATTTGACTGTGTGTTGTTTTCCTTTCCTGGTTCCAGACCAGGCAGGACCACACACAGAGGCTGCTGGGGCAAAACTAATGGGATTCCTGTACCTCCGGGTGCCCCTTGAGGGGCACTGGCTCCATACTCAGCCCACCCTGAGCGTTACTGCCCACCCCTCGTACATCATTAACCTACCTGTTCGGTCTCCTCGCACAGACTCCAAACTCCACGAAGGACAACGGTTGTGTTTGCCTTGTACCCACTCATCCCCAGTCCACTGCACCCCATAGGTCCTCAACAGGAGTTTATTTTTTCTTATTAGAAAGGTAATATGCATATGCATTTATTACATAAAGTTTAGACAATACAAATAAGCAAGTATTCCATCCACCAGACATAACCACTGTCAACATCTTAATGTGTATCCTGCTAGTTTTCAATGGACAGATTAACTAATGACATTAGGGAAATAAACAAGGAAGTGTCGCTTACATTTCCCGAGTGTTAGAATTATGTGGCAGATGTGTCCGAGGCACCATCTATGGACCATATCATTTGTCCAGGCGATGACCTTGTGAGGCAAACAAAGTTACCGTCCCCATTTCTCAGATGAGAAGATGACAGGGAGGTTAAGCTCCTTCCCTGAACTCACTCAGTCGGTAGGGGGCGCAGCTGGGGTTGGAATCTGTCTCTGGAATCTGCACTTGACTACTTCTGCTGCTGCCTCCCAAGGGAGGGGTGCTCACTAGTGGGGTGCGTCTCTCCCCTCTGTCCAGGGGAGCCCGGGGATGCCGGCTTGAGCTTGTGAGAGTGGCTAAGGCAGAGCAGAAGGGGCAGGTCCGAGCTGGTGTGCTGGCAGAGCAGCTCCCGGGAAGCTCGCCCCCTGCCGCCTGCCCCGGTGCACAAGTCATCGGGCCTGTGTCCTCGGCCACCCTGGACACCCTGTGTCCTCGTTGTTGGCAAGCCACACACTGCCCACACCCACACCGATGTTACTCAATAGGCAGGACAAAAGAAAGGCACAGGGAGCAAAGAACGATGCTATAGAGAGAAAGGGAAGCGCGAGCATGTTACTTTCTGCCCTGAATAGGTTCTTTGTGCCCGGCTCCCGTGGGACTCACAAGGAGCAGTTTGAGTCAACGGTTCCCCTGGAGGCCACGCCTCATGAGGTGCAGCCATAGGGGCAGCAGCTGAATAACAGAATGAACCTTTTAATAATAGGGCAGCCGCAGTTGATTCCAAGAGACCACATCTGACCACTTCTCTATTTACCCACCTCACTGCAGCCTCAGTTCTTACTGGCCCAAGTGTGTGGGAACAGCTAGACAAACTCCCAGCAAGAGGCACTGTGCGGCTCTCTCAGAGCACTGAGTCAGACTGCAGGTTTGCCTTTGTGACCCAGGGATTCGCTCACCTGGGGGAGATCGCTTCAACTCTCTGAGACTCAGTGTCTTTATCTTTGAAATGGGAGTGAGAATAATTCCTGCTTTACCTGCAATAAAGGGTTGAAGTTTGTCCCCTCAAAATTCATATTTTGATGTCCTAACCCCCAGTACCTCAAAAAGGGGCTTTAGGTTTGCTGCCAAAGATTGCCGGCAAGCACCCAGCAGGCAGGGGACAGGCATGGAACAGATTCTCCCTCATGACCCCGAGATGGAGCCACGCCTGCTGACCCCTGGACCAGCCTGTCGACCCCTGCAACGCTGGTCTCCAGACTTCTGTCACTCCAGCCACCCAGGCTGTGCTGCTTTGTTATGGCAGCCTCAGCAAATCTGATACAAAAGGGCTGTTTTAAGATCAAGTGAATTATTTCACAATGAATATTGCATAATCCATAAAGGGCTATTTATATATTGCTTTTTACTCTAAAAAAGCTTAGTTGCAGCTATGTGCTGTAAAATTTATTAGTAAAAGCTAATGACTTAGACCTGGAGAATAATCCAACTGGCAATAAAAATATCACAGTGTTTTGATCATTGGAATACCATGTACCAGCCTTGGTGCTAAGCGTTCCATGTGCATGTGCACATTTGTTGGAACTATCAAGTCCTGTTACCCGCTTAATTCTCTCGCATCCTTCCACTGCTCCTGGTTACCAGCATTACGACAACACTCTCCTCTCAGTCCCCTTGCTTCCAGTCTGGGCCTCCAACCCACTGCTAATCACACTGCTAGAATCAGTGGTGGCTTCAGAATTTCTATGTAACAGTGGCTTAGGGGAGACGACGTGGTCGGAAGTGGGGGATGAGGTGATCACCGAGGCAGTGCAATGCTGTGATCACGAGCATGCTGTCGGGACCCAGCCTGCATAGGTGCAAGTCCCAGCACCAGCGCTTACTAACTGTGCGACCTCAACTTCCTATGTTGTGAAGAATGAGTTAGCACATTTTTGCAAAAGTCACTTAGAATAGTGCATAACACGTAGGAAGCTTCTGTGATTATTAGCTCTTCTCACTCTTGTTTTTCTGCTATGCTTACATAACAAGCACATGCTTCCAACTTAGAGTGTGTGTTTCATTGGTGGTATTGATAGGTATTGTTGTGGCTACTGAGCTATTGGCAAGAATGGTTACAAAGCTGATCGTAGCCATCCTTATAGTAGCCCGAAAACTTCCAGTGCCTTTCTGTCGTCCTCGCAATAAGAATCCACTCTGTGATGTAGCATATAGGGCCTTTCAAAGGGGTTCTCATCCTCTCTCCAGCCTTGTCTGTCCCACAGTTCCCCTGGGTCCCTGCACTCCAGCCACACAGAATCATCATAGACCCCACCCCCACCACAGATATGCCGCCCCTGCCCCCTCTCAGTAGGGAGCTGGACAGCAAAGACTGGGAACAGATGCCCACACGCTCACCGACAGAACCTGGACTATGGACAGTGGGTGTTTCAGCCAGAGCAGCGAGCCCATCTCCCTCACCTCCCGGCCCACGTGTTCTCTTTCGCAGGCAAGGGCCCTGTCTAAGCCGGAGTCACCTTGAGGCTTGTTCTGAGCTGGTATTCCCTCGGGAAACAGCTCAACTTCCAGAGCCTTGGACAGCGAAGCAGGAACTTTCAGAGGAGCCAAATTAAATAATTCCTGTCTGCTGCATATTAATTATTTAAAAAGATGAATAAAATATTCCACATAAGATGTTCTTACGTTGCTTTTTGGTTTTTACTTCCCCAGCATAATTTCCAATAACTATGCTACAGCAAAATTTTAATGCAAAACTATGTCTTGTAACCACTGCATTGGAATTCACCGCGCACAGTTGTTACTTCTTACAGAAGGGCCTGGATACAAGCCAGTGCTTTTGGAGGATTTGTTCATTTAGCAAATGTTTATTAAGTACTTACTATGAGAAAGACACTGTGCTGGGCAAAATGGAGGAAACACAGAGAAGAAGTGAGCACAGTGCCTGCCCTCAAGCATGACAGTGTCATTGAGGTCACGCACACACATACGTGCACAGAGAGCACACGCAGACATGCATGCGCATGCACACACACACGCCACTCAAACACACAAGACGGAATGTGGTCAGGGCTTCAGTAAGGAGAGGAGCGAATTCTCACAGGAATTCTAGGTTGGCAGCAAGAATTTAGACCTGAGAGAATTAAGGAGACTCAAAGTGCATTTCCGTGAACAAGTTTCAAAGAAAGTAAAGCAAGAGGCTTTATTCAGGAATATATTTAGTTAATTCATGCTGCTACACACACTCTCTCCAGAGCCAAAACAGAGAAAAGTGGCTGTTTCTGCTGCACTGGATGGGGCCGGGACCCAAGCATCGCACGTTAGTGCTCTGGGCTGGGAAAGCTGCTCTCGGGGCCACAGGACTCCAAACCGTCCAGGGAGGGGCCGGCCTGCAGCCTGGGACTCGGCCAAACCCATCCAAACTACTCACACGCGGCCTTGCTTTCTTCCTTACATGTCTGCGCTTTTGCTGTGGCTGCTTTCTGCAGCACTTGACAGAAATCCGGCATTTCTGTTAGGAAATGATATGTTGTGCTCCTGAAAAACGTCAGGTAACGGGACTTATGAGGAAAAGGAAGGTTAAGAGCAGACCACTTTGTCATGAGTCTCTAACAGAAACAATGTTTGGCACCTCGGGAGATAATTGGACGGCCAAAGCAGGCAGCTCAGAGGGCCAGAAGCTGCTTCACGGGATGTCGCAAATGCGCAGGAATGGGGGAGCAGCACCTGCATCGTCAGGGCGCTGCGAGCTGGCGAGGCTGCCGGGAAGGTGGGTGCAGAAAGCAGCACAGCCTGGGATGTGCAAGGCCAGGATGCGCTGCTCTGCGGAGAGCTCTCCAAACGCAGGTGTTCACTTAAAATGTAAACGAAAAAAAGAACTGAAAGCCACAGTGAACCCTTCCCACTGAAGCTGTCGCCCTCCTCCGCTGTTTCAGCTCCGCTAGTCCTGGGAAAGTGCGTGTGAGTGAACATCACTTCCACGGCAGAACCGCCAGCGGTCCCCTCCTCCCCAGCCGCGCGCGCGCGCGCTGACCGGTGCTGCGGGAGCACACACTGCCGCAGACGGACTGCATTACCGAGGTCGAGGAAGTAAACTAGGGCAGAGACTCCCGTCTTTCACAGGCACACTTCAATGTGTCGGAGGGCCAGGAGGGTGATAAAATGAAAAACGCTAATGCTTATCAGGCACGTTCTGTGTGCCCACGCTATACACAGAGTGCCTCGTCCATTCCTTACAACAATGCTGAGAGGTAAGAAGTGTCGCTGTCGCTGTCTGTTTACAGGTGAGGAAACTGAGACTTTGCTTAAGGGACTGACCAGGCTCTCACAGGTGAAAAGTGGGGGAGCCAGTCTCAAACCCAGCAGTCTGATTCGCCAGCCTGTGCTCCTAAGATCCAACCTTCTAGAAAAAGTCCTGCATGGCAGGCAGGAGGCGACAAATTCAGAAGCTCCCCTCATGGCCACCCCTGCGTGTGTCCTGTGGCTGCACTTCAGAAAATGAGGGCTTTCCGGGCCTGCTCCAGGATGAAGCACCCTCATTCTGGAGGACCCAAGGCTCTCGTTTCACTCAAACATTAATGGTTTCTGTGTCCCCTAGTTTCTGCCTCCATCTCAAACACGCGCAGGACCGAGAGAGGCCACATTCCTTGTAGGTGGTCAGCTGACTTCCACTTGTGTGACTGGCAAGTGGGTAAAGCTCTGAAAACTGGATGGAGTTAGCGAACGTGCGATT